ATACATCATTGACCTATACATATTTCTAGTAATATCTCTCTGTGACCTATATATATATTTAGTAATATTTGTCTGTGACCTATATATATATCTAGTAATATAAATCTGTGACCTATATATATATATTTAATAATATCAGTCTGTGACCTATATATATAAGGGACTATCTGTCTGTGACATATATATATATATATCTAGTAATATCCTTCTGTGACCTATAAATATATCAAGTAATATCTGTCTGTGACATATATATATATATTTATATATATGGGACTATCTGTCTGTGACATACATATACCTAGTAATATCTGTCTGTGAGAGATATATATATATATCTATCTAGTAATATCTGTCTGTGACTTATATATATCCCGTACAATCTGTATGTGAACTTTATATCTAACACAACCAGTCTGTAACCTATGGATCTAGGAAAATCTGTCTGTAACCTATTTACCCAGCATAATATGTCTGTGACCTTCATGTTTAGTACAATTTGTCTGTGACCAATAGTTCTGAAAATGAAATGAAAACATACACTTCTGGTTTTAAAATACTGTTGGAAATTCCCTTTCAATTACCATATTACCATCTTCCCAATACTAACATTTCCCCAAAGAAGAACAAAAATGCTTGAACAATTTTAGTGGAGTCATATAATAAAGACCTTGTTGCACAATTGAGTGTGTATGAAACTTTGAAAGGATTGACAACTAGAGGCAACTTGAATGGTAGAAGACAAGCCTAAGACTTTGGCATATTAATAAATTCTCAGCATCCTCAATACTCCAGGGGTTAAGATCACTTTAGCTCTCTGCACTCCTGGAACATGTCATGACAAAATTGAAGTTCCATGTGCAACACCTTATGGACAAGATTAAAAGACTAGTTAGACCCTTTGATAAACATCAAACTAATCTTGAGGTCACACAAATGTATATTGTAATGGCTTTGAAGTTGTGTGTTGCCCCTTTGTAACCTTCATGTATCAGCCTGTGATTGGTCAGTTTTCTCTCCTGGAACCAATCAAATTACGTTGCTTTAACTTGTGCCTTCAATGTTGCCATGAATCGTCTTGAATACTACATTTTATTTCTTTTTCATTTAATGCCATTACATGCAGTGAAACTGGTATTGTACCCTGCTCTCCTGAGATTTACACATATTGTCCTGTCTACAAAAACTTGGCATTTAATGATACTCCAGCTGGAACAATAAAGTGTATGCATGTCCATGTATAAGTGTAGACAACAAAACCATTACACCACAAGAAAAGTGGACTCTGTTACTGATGGTGAATAATAATTTTTGGACTGCAATGTTTTATGCTACATAATTGGAACAGTGTTGCCATTGTGTTCTAATTTGCATATTGTTAAGTACAATTTGTACCAGGGCTTTTTTCGGTCTAATTTTACTCCAAGGAAACAGATATATCTTTCCATGTATAAAACATATTTTAGATAACGTCATTATAAACCTTTTCTTTGTCATATTACTTATTATGATATCCTATCTTGTGGCATTGTTCTTACCGATGAAAACAAAATATAAAAGTAGTTTCACTGAACTTTACGATTGCTACCATCTTAGGAATGTTTTACAGAGCCGCCATGTTCCAACAGTTTTGTGGGAATTCAAACGTTTGTATCAACAATAAAGATCAAACAGTGTTTGGTGGTATAATTTACATATTCACAAATGGTCATTGTTATCGATATCTTGATCATGTGCTACAAGGACATGTTGTATGTAATTTACCAGTATACTACCTGTGTTTGATATCAGAATCGTAATAACATTGTTATTTCCTCGCATATCAAACTTCAACTTTACACCGAAACATGGCATTCTCTCATGACACTGTGTATGTCCGTGTTTAGCATTTTGTGAGATACAGACTCAAGTCTGAGGACAAGTCCATATTAACAGATAGCAATAAAAACTGCTATAACTCCCTTACAGATCAAACTGAAACTTGTCAACAACAACATCTTCTAAGGTCCTTATGCTGTAGTTACAATATCTAGATACCTGAAACATACACTTAGCATGTGGAGTGCATTTTTTTCGTCAATCAGCTTGCAGGTTGCAATGCACAAGAAACCAAAAATAATTTTTTTAAATCTATTGAATTTCTATTCATTACGTCACTAAAAAAGCACATGCACACTGGGTTTAATGATGAATTATAGGTAAAAATCCAATTTTAAGTAAACTTGTTGCCGATAGGAAACAAAGATTTTTTGACAAATTGAACTTTGATTGCAACCCTTATTCCGTAAGTTAAGACAAGCTGTTGACAGTCTACTGTTCCAGTCATTAAAACTTGCTCATTCAATTTCTTCACATTTCAAATTGAATATCTCTGCATATTGTATTACAATCATTCGAACAATATAAATCCTCTGGGGTCTTGACTTATTATTTCACATATTGTGAAATAGACTTCTACAATCAGAAGATACCTTCTTTTCACTGTAAAACACCCAGCAATCGTACAGAATTTTATATCTTCATAACTTGGCCAATTTTCCATATATCAAACTTAATAATGACTTATACAACTAACAATTTGATAATTTTGGCGTTGTTGTGTACCTCTTTTGAATAATCGTATCTCAAATAGTCCTTTACACAAATACTTAATATTTGGGATATACAACTTTTCAACATCAAAGAGTACTTGAACCCAAAGGGAACTTGGCATCCACCTTTGTGTGATCTTTATTGGTTGGATTTTTTCCCTTCTTTTCACTTCTCTCCTCTGTTTTCGCTCTTAATGATACAAAATTTGTGAACTTTACTTTGCATAAATAGCAATAATAATCTCTAATCCAAATCCATGATGGTAGCCTGCCAGCAATTTGTTTTTCTTATCAGTCTGAATATCAAATGGACACAACTAGGGTCCAAGAGGAACCTACATATGAAATTTAAGAGAGATCCATCTAGTACTTCTCAAGAAATAGTGATAACAAATTAAACTAGGTGAAATGCAAGATGGCCATCTGTTTGCCATATTGATTTCCTGATCAATCTCAAAATCAAAAGATGGTCATCTGTCGGCCACTTTGATTACTGATAACTCCCAAAATCAAATATGTACAATTAAGGACCAAGGGGAACTTACTTATGTAATTTGAAAGAGTTCCATCCAGTCTTTCTTATTGGAAACCTATTTTTGTAATTTGAAAAATATCCATCTGGTATTTTTCAAGAAATAGCAATAACAATCTATACCAGACAATATCTAAGATGGCCACCTGTCAGCCATTTTGTTTTTCTAATATTATAAACCATCTGATGATAGTGGGGTAAAGATATGAGACTGGGCAAAAAATGGCTGTTATACTGATACTACCAACCAGGCTGTAATTGACCAGTCAGATGACTGCTCAAAAAAAAAAAAAAGAAGAAAACTCTTGAACACCACCTCTCATACATGAACACGTGTAAATTTTAGAATAGTTTTTATGCCAGAGCCATACAAACTGGTCATTCTGTCTGTCCCCCTTTATGTTGTCTTCACAACTCCTCCTAAAACCTTTGGAGTATTTTCATGAAACTTGGTATAAAGTAGTGTTGGGAATCGGTTGAGATTTCCTGATTGATCATCAACTTTGTGTAACCGATCGATGATTGATTAAAATCGATTAATTCTTAATTGTCTGTTTTTGGATATTATTCAAGTCTAAATACGTATTTTGTATTAAGTTTTAACAGCAATTCACGTAATAACTAAAACTGTTGTACCTACACCATCATTTTGTGTGCTTGTTAATCGTTTATTGCACAGAATACTTTTTAATATAAACAAATGTCATTTTTTTTTTAAAATCATTTTATTAATGTTGAAAATAATTTCAATGTTGAAATAATCTATTTTCATACATCACGATGATCAATTACAGATTTTTTACTCGATTAATTGATCAAACATCTCAAACAAGTGATACTAGATTAACTCGATTAATCGGAACAACACTAGTATAAAGAAAGGTCACATTGAGAAGATTTGCATATTGCAAGGGGAATGCTGTCAAAAAGAAGTTAGAGGAGTTATGTCCATCTGACTTACATATTTCTATGCAAAAAACTTTGTCTCCTCAACTCCTCTTAGACCCTTGAGAAGATTTCAAAGAAACTTGGTATAAGGAAATAGTGAAAATGTGCATATTGCATGGGGAATGCTGTCAAAAACAGTTTGTAAGAGTAATGGTCTATGGACTTAGATCTTTCTTTGCAAAATGCATGGGAGGAGAGGGGGCTGACATTTAAAATTTGGTCCAAACATTGTGATGATGTCATCAGTCTTCGAAAGAATTATCGAACATTTTAAAAACTGTTCAGTATAATCAAGAAATTCATGAGAAAACCATTGTTCTAGATCTTGCTTTCACCAATTCATGTAGCCATCCCTTTTGATGTATGTATATCTACTTTATTTGGGGGACATATTAACAAAATTCCGGACAGATTGATATTGGCACCTCTTTCACATAAATCATTATAATTCTAAGATTAAAACTGCCATGAAATACATAGCTCCAAAAATTCATCATTTCTCATAAGTCCAAAAACAACATTGATTGTTGTTATAAATCTAGGGCACAATCAGTTGTGATAAAAGGTCTTGGAAATCAAGACACTAAACACTATCCCAACTTTGTGAGGAAATTTGTTCCAAACCCATTACAGTCTTGAACAGTTGACAAGCATACTAAAATCCAAAAAATGAGTTGAACCTAGTCAATGGGTGTTGTAGTGATTACAATCCCAAAATATGACTCAAACATAAGTCATAACACGAATACCATGTAATGAACGCGAATATCATATAATATACTGATATGATACTAACAGGTCATGGTGTCCAGTTGGACGTAATAAACAATATCCTTGATCAATCTTCTGATTACTTTATACGTCAAGTAAAACAAATACAATGATCAGAAATCAGGTCATTGAGCACAAATTGAAAATGGATACCTCACCTGGGGTGACAGCTCGCTGGTTACACCCTAGGAACATCGCCGTCAGGAGATGAGGGTAGGTCGTTTCCAACGCCAGACACAATCCATGGAAGGCCGAGTTGGGCTTGTCGGGTAGGATATCGAGGAGTCTCTCGGCCCGCCCAGCACGACTCGGCTGTTTGTTTATCTCGCTGATGTCATCTGCGTACACTACATTTTTGCTTTGCAAAATCGGCAAGAGTTTTTCCACTTCTATGGCACTGAGAAATTTAGCGCGGTGGAGACTGAGCAGTTCTTTATGTTTGCTCTCCATGATTCAAACAGAATCATATTCCAAACATTCTAACTGCCGTACATTAGTGTTAAAACATTTTCACAAACATCGCCGTTCACGAACTCTAAAACGTTCTCAGCCATCTTGCTTTTCCAAACAATGCAATCAGCTGGCGAATTATTTCCGCAGTTTCGTACTTCTGCTATATTTTTAAAACAAAATTTAAAGAATTGTGATAATTACAGTATATCAAACTGGGTTTAATGTTTAATATCTTGGATAATCAATATGATAAAAATATAGCAATTCATGAATAATATTCATCAAAAACATAATGTATATGTTTTGGCGGAATATTTCACGCACTTGCTATGAATTTCATCGCAAGATTACGACTGACATTTCAGGTTAACGACTAAAAGCCAGGAACCGTCGAACCGGAACTGTTTGACCAGACATGTTCCTATACATGTAAATTGAAGAGAAATTGTCGATAACAATGTGTTCGCTTAACGAAACAAATAATAATAAATAATAATAATAAACTGACATAGGGGTATCAAGTTTTTTTATTGTCTGTTAACATTTGTTCATATTTGGACTGGCCGACATATCAAGAGACAGGAGACCTACATTCAAATATGCAAATATCTGCAAATGGCACCTCAAAAGTCATAAAAATCAAATCTGAGCGATTGTAATAAAATTTTGTATTTTAACGTATCAGCATATGAACTTAGATATTCCAAAAGTGATGCCAAGAAATTTACAAATTCGAGATGAATTATGCCTCTTTTTACCTACATAAACTGTATGATATTCACATACTGTACGTATAGAAATATACCTTACTTATGGTTAATCAAATGCGCGAGAACAATAAAAAAAACTGAATCTGTGTTTATTTAATGACAAGTGAGAGAATGTGAGTTTTTCATGTAACGTCCTCAATATGACATATACGATGATGTTTTCCAACTAACAAGTTGTATCGGTAGAAATGTCTCTTATTACGTATACCGACAAGATTTATTCCGTTTTCGACCAAAATTGACAAATAATACAAGCTGGTGTTTACATTTTATAGACAATGCAATCAAAAGTACTGCCGTAATCATTTTAAGTAACGCCGATGGTCGAGTGCTCCGAATCTAACTAGGATTTTACAGCTAACTTGTAACGGAAATTTCGCTTAATACGCGTACAAATGAACCGTTCAGATTCTTTTGTAACATCACAAAAATGTAATTGGCAGTTTGAAATCTTAAAAAAAAAAAAAAATCATAAAAAACCAAAACGATCAATACTCCGTTGATTCGTGTACACGTTCAGACCAGTATAGTTATTTATATGAAAGGAACTATAGTAACTAACGTTATACGTATTGTCAGGCGTTACACGTATCACAATAATCACTTAGTTATCCATCTGGTTTGTCTTGTAGTACAACACTGTAGGGTGTAGTGTTGTACCTGCTAGTCTTGTAGTACAACACTGTAGGGTGTAGTGTTGTACGGGTTTGTCTTGTAGTACAACACTGTAGCGTGTAGTGTTGTACAAGTTTGTCTTGTAGTACAACACTGTAGGGTGTCGTGTTGTACAGGTCTGTCTTGTAGTACAGCACTGTAGCGTGTAGTGTTGTACAAGTTTGTCTTGTAGTACAACACTGTAGGGTGTCGTGTTGTACAGGTCTGTCTTGTAGTACAGCACTGTAGGGTGTAGTGTTGTACAGGTTTGTCTTGTAGTACAACACTGTAGGGTGTAGTGTTGGACACGTTTGTCTTGTAGTACAACACTGTAGGGTGTAGTGTTGGACACGTTTGTCTTGTAGTACAATACTGTAGGGTGTAGTGTTGGACACGTTTGTCTTGTAGTACAACACTGTAGGGTGTAGTGTTGTACAGGTTTGTCTTGTAGTACAACACTGTAGGGTGTAGCGTTGTACATGTTTGTCTTGTAGTACAACACTGTAGGGTGTAGTGTTGTACGGGTTTGTCTTGTAGTACAACACTGTAGGGTGTAGCGTTGTACATGTTTGTCTTGTAGTACAACACTGTAGCGTGTAGTGTTGTACGGGTTTGTCTTGTAGTACAACACTGTAGCGTGTAGTGTTGTACAGGTTTGTCTTGTAGTACAACACTGTAGGGTGTCGTGTTGTACAGGTTTGTCTTGTAGTACAACACTGTAGGGTGTAGTGTTGTACAGGTTTGTCTTGTAGTACAGCACTTTAGGGTGTAGTGTTGTACGGGTTTGTCTTGTAGTACAGCACTGTAGGGTGTAGTGTTGTACGGGTTTGTCTTGTAGTACAACACTGTAGCGTGTAGTGTTGTACATGTTTGTCTTGTAGTACAACACTTTAGGGTGTAGTGTTGTACAGGTTTGTCTTGTAGTACAGCACTGTAGGGTGTAGTGTTGTACGGGTTTGTCTTGTAGTACAACACTGTAGCGTGTAGTGTTGTACATGTTTGTCTTGTAGTACAATACTTTAGGGTGTAGTGTTGTACGGGTTTGTCTTGTAGTACAGCACTGTAGGGTGTAGTGTTGTACGGGTTTGTCTTGTAGTACAACACTGTAGCGTGTAGTGTTGTACATGTTTGTCTTGTAGTACAACACTTTAGGGTGTAGTGTTGTACATGCTAGTCTTGTAGTACAACACTTTAGGGTGAGGTGTTATACCAGCTTGATTCCAATGAGCACTTTGGACTTCCGCTCCAGATTTACATCTGTATCTGTATTTCTGAGCCACCCAAGTTCTCGCTTTCAACACTTTAATTTCTGTATACTGTGTATTTCTCAAAAAACTCTTCCTGTCAACATATTTCTGAGAACAACTGTGTGAGATGAATTGATCTTCTTTGTTTCATTTACTAGATGTATGAATTTTCCAGGTAGAAGTTGTATTCTCATCGTTGTTACCTGTCGTTTATCGTTTAGATAAACCTGCATCAGAAACACAAATGTGTTTCTCTGTCAAACGCCTGAGACGGTTTGGTTATCGTACTTCATTTACAACTTCATTCGCCAATATATTTTTTTTTTAGTATTTCCGAAATTCTTTTGAAGGTCATTGAACTTACTCGTCACTGGGCATAATGTTTCATAAACACGTCTTGTTTCTTTAGACAAGAGGTAGAGATGATGATGATGATGATGATGGTGATGATGATGATGATGATGATGATGATACTACATCTGTAATGACTGTGCATGAACTGTCATGTCCACTGCTATTCAAGTTCTTCTTGGTTTCCCTCTCTCGCCAATTTCTGTTTTTGTCTGAAAACTTCAAGATAATGTCTGGTTTTCTTTCTTCTTTCTTTAAGTTGTTGCTTTCATAATTAGTCTGAGGGGATGCGAGGTTTTCCTTTCCGTCGTCTTTCTTTTGCAGAGTATTTCTCAGTGATCTTTTCTTTAGGCCTCATTCAGTTGTCTGGTTGTCCTTCTACTCGAGATTTTGGCATGGCATTTTAACAGCAACGAGACGGAAAATTACTTGGATTTGTATTTGGTGCATTACTCTTGAAAATCTGATACAATGATATTTTTGAAAATATATTCAATACTAGTAACCATGGCATCATCATAAAACAAATTTAAAAAAAAAAAAATAATAATACGTTATTACGCAATTTTCCAACGTTTTTGGCATTAAAACTGGACTACTTGGTACTACGTCTTGTTGATAACAATTAACAAACAGTGAACAGTCTGATCAGGTTTATGATGAGAACATTTATAAACCCCAATACCATTATATATAACATATATATTTGCACATTTATTATCCTACAGGTGGCAGTTGCTAATGTCTTCATGTATTACTGGGTTTACGTACAAGTTAGCGAGTATATATTATCAATCTAATCCAAAATGACCAGCACTGTTGCATGTATTTAGGTAGATCACGGCCTATAATTGTATCAACTTTCTTTTGGCATGCAGGGGTTACAATAACTTTCGCTCTCTGTACCCTTGGAACATGCCATGGCAAAACTGAAGGCACAAGTTAAAGCGAAATAATTTGATTGGTTTCAGGATTAAAAAAATGACCAATCACAGGCTTGTACGCTCCTTTTGAAGATTACAAAAGAGCGACAGACAACTTCAAAGCCACCACAATATTCCGTTATACGAGCTCGAGATTCGTTTGATGCACATCAAAGGATCAAACTAGTCTTTTCGTCTTGTCCACAAGGTGTCGCACACGGAACATTTAAATTTGTCATGGCATGTTCCTGAAGGAGTGCACAGAGCAAAAATTGACCGTAACCCGTATCGAGGATGGTATCAAGTACAGAGCCGATAAGTTGTTTCTAAACATGTCAACTCCCGTATTACCATAGTAACCATCGGAATATTTGAGAAATGATGTGACGATATAATTATGAGTATAAGTGAGAAACATGTTTTACGAGGGTGACCATATTTACAGATCTATTTCAAATTTGTATGCATGTATCTTCAATAAGCTGTCTGATTTTATCTCATGCTTTCAACTGCCCTGAATATGATATCACTAATGTTGAGTTTTTATAAAGTGTTTCACGGTCGTGACCTACGTTTTATACTTCCCTGCGGAAAAGACCAGTATCAGGTTTGGTGAGTACAAGGTACAAGAAGACTGATTTTTTTTTTTACAATTGTATATCAACGAACAAACATGTATATCAAGTTATAAACAAAACACAAAGGCAATAAAAGGTAAGTAACAGAAGCAAAGTTATATTTGCTGACAAGCACAACAAATATTTAAATATAGCGCAGTATACATGATAAAAGCAAACTGTCAGCTGAAGTAGTTTCGTGAGAATTCGACGACAAGAGAACGTCACAAATTATTTTGTGAAATCATTTTAAACGTAAGTCAGGCGTTCATAATCTACTTATGCTATACAGGTAAAACTAGCCGTTTGCTGCCCTATCAAGGTAAACTTGCAGTCCAGTTATTAATTAATCACGGTCTAGTCACACCGATGAAGAAATAATTTTATAATGTCATGCATACTGGCTCAGCATTTTATCGAATGCACTTGCATTGC